AAGAACAAAAAATAACAAATGATGGTAAGGATGTAGAAAAAGAGGAACTCATATACTGTTGGAGGGGATGTAAATTAGAATAGCAATTATGGAAAACAGTGTGGAGGTTCCTCAAAAAACTGCAAATACAACTACTATATGTCCCAGTAATCCCACTACTGGGTATATATATCCAAAGGAAAAGAAATCACTATGTTAAAGATATATTTACACTTCCATGGTTATCACAGCACTATTCACAATAGCCAACATATTCAATCAACCTAAGTGTCTATCAACAGATAAATGGATAAAGAAAATGTGGCATATATACACAATGGAATACTATTTAGCCATAAAAAAGAACAAAATTCTATCATTTGCAGAAACAGAGATGAGCTAGGAGGACATTATGTTAACTGAAAAAAGCCAGGCACAGAAAGATAAACACAGGATGTTCTCACTCATCTGTTGAAGCTAAAAAGGTCGAACTTATAGAAGTAGAGAGTAGAAAAGGGGTTACTAGAAGCAGGGAAGAGTAAAGGGAAGAGGTGCATTAGACAAAGGTTGGTTAATGGATAAAAAAGTACAGCTAGATATGAGGAATACATTTTAACATTCTATAGCCCTACAGGGTAACTATAATTAAAAATTTATTGTATATTTTCAAATAGCTGGAAAAGTAGATTTTGAATGTTCCCAATGATAAATGTTTGAGGTGACAGATATACTAATTACCTGGATTTGATCATTACACACTGTACAAAGGTGTCAAAAATATCACACTGTACCCCATAAATATGTACAACTGTGTGTCAATAAAAAATGAGAAAAAAATTACAATTCTCAAATATAAGATTAATGGTATAATAGGTTCACTGAAGTACAGAAGTTTAAAAAAAATACTAGTACTCAGAATAATAAACAAATAGTTAAAAGACTCCAGTGCAAATACAGAATGAATTTATATGTGTAGTTGGATACACAGACGTAATTAGTCTGCACAAATACTCCCCATACCCCCCCAAAAAAAAGTACAAATAGGGAGTAAAATAATAAATATCTAACAACTGGATTTTACTGGAATAGAGCATCACTATGTTTAGTTCAATGTACTGTCTCAATGAAAATGTTGTCCAAGAGAAACAAGCCATAAAACTCATAAATACCTATTAAACAAATCTCAGTGACACAGTAGGACACCAATCCTTTTTTTTCCAATATTACACAGATGAATTCTGTCTCTAGTGATGACGAAGCCCCAAACTAAGCGGTATGATTAAAAGTTAAAAGTTCATGTGCCAAAAAAGGGACTAAATCCCACTATGCTGAGAAGCTTGTTAAAACTGGTCTTAACATAAATTACAATATTTTGCTTAGAAGGAAAAGCAACAAAAGCTAAAATTCTTTCATTAAACAACACTGACTGGTGTCAAATATGATAGTATCAATGGCATTTAAGAAACCAACAATTACATGTGCACGTTAGCAGGTATTTTCCTTTACAGTTGAAAAAACACGAGTATACAATAGGAATCAACTCTTAGCAAATATGCAGGATACCTGTATGAATTCAATGACTTTTGATTTGCTTAACCTCCAAAAACCATGCTATAGGAAAGCTTTTTTTTTTAATTTAGTCAATGATGATTTTGCAAGCCATGATGTAGCCTGGAAAGGACATCTTGGTCTCACTGAAGGTACAGTAGCTGCCAAGTGCTATCTGAAGGAAAGACTGCTCTGAATACCCATTTATCTACAATGTGTCTATCATCCTGGTCTAAGGCAGTGCTAAACTACACAGTAAAAAATAAATAAATAAAATTACAACCATTGAACATTTCTTTTCAATGTACCATACTAAGAAATGGATCCTAAAAACAAGACTGTTTCATACTTATGAATCACAGATGTCAATGCAAACATTTCTTCACAACGTCACTGATAAATCAGGCCAGTAAACATCATTTCAATGATTTTAAATACAATTCTCAAGTAGTATATATAAATAATACATTCATTAGTTCGAACACATTACTTGGGAAAATATTTTAAATTTAAGGATAA